CAAGATTCCTGATTATGTCATTATTTTCTCATCGGGTTACATGTCCTGTCCATTTTTGATTGTTGCTGCTGTTGAAAGTCCCTAAATGATGTGGTTTGTGATTCTATAGCGCCAGTCCACAATATTCAAGGAAGCAAGATCTTTGCCAAGAATCTTTACTCAAAAGGCTTCACTCGTTCAAAACCTTTTTTCAACATTGATACTAGAAAGCCGTTATATATAGCCGAGAGTTTAGATCTTTATGCAGAATGTACTAATATGAATAATAAAAAGTATGAAATTTTGGTGAAACTCGAGAAATATTAAATGTCCTAAGCTTAAACAATGATTCAATACGAAGAATAAAGATGGAGAAACGATCACGTTTTGGGAAAGGAAATGAATTTAATGGCTGGCATAGTTTATTCAATGCCGTTTTATAGTAAACACCACTTGGCTTTCTGTTTATCAAATATTACGAGGACACTGTCTCCTTTCTTTACAAGCAGATGGTTTGCCCCTCACAGCTACTATCAGTGCTTTTAAATCAGCCAACATAGAAGCCATAAAAATTTGTGGGGTAGCTTGATGATTAAGAAAAAAAAATGTACAGAATGTTTCCTTTATTCTTTCTTTCTCTTTTCTGTTTTCTCTCACTCTCTTTATTTTAAAAATAACTTTAACATGGCGACATTATAATTTTAGCGTCATATGCAGGCAACTGATATAAGTAATAAAGATATGGAGGTTAATTCTTGGGCGCGCTTAGACACATTGCAATTACGCAAAAGAGATAACTCTTCTTCTTAATAATTGCATTGTTTCTTTGTAGCTAAACTGACATTTGATTGTTCAAGGAAAACTGTTTATTCTGTTGGTCACAAAGGTTGTCAGCAGCAGATGAATTTTGCTTAGTCTAGAGAAAGACAAAACAAGATGGTCCCCTACAAGATATATCACCCTACATAATATAATTTTCTATTTCAGTTAGCTGACACGAGCACCTACAATTTGGAATTGAGGCTACTTGCAAGTGTGTGGACGCATGATCATGTGCATTCTGATTATGGGGGATGGGCGACATGACTTCATTGCAAGATTTTCAGGTAAACTGATATCTCTGTTCAAAGTAGACTGCTCATCCTTTTGGTAAAAAAAAGTCGTCAACAGCAGTTGAATTTTGCCTAGTATAGAGAAAGACAAAGCAAGAGATATAGATGTTAAGAAACGTACCTGGAGAAAAAGGTTTTAGTCCCCAAGGACAATCATGCTGATATTGTTGCGACGTTTGGGCATTACGCTCGAGTTTTATCAACAGTGCAAAAGTCGGCAGCTGAATTTAGGAGTGGACCAGAGTGTCTTGAAAATTACCCAAGAGCCTTGAAAAGCTGTAAAGCTGCCACCACCAAATAAAATATTCATCGTGTTCACCACATTATGATGGATGACAGACGATTGAATATGAATCAAATAGCCAATTCTATTAGTATATTCCGTAAGAGAGTTGATAATAATTTGCACAATGAACTTGGCATGATGAAGGTTTCTGCTGGGTAGGTGCCACGTCTGACACCTGATTAAAAGCGCATCAGACTGATCACAGCAAAATGTGACATTGAGGCTGATCCACCTAGTTTCCTTGAACATTTCCTAATCCAGGATGGGTGTTGGGTTCATCACTTTAAACAGAAAATGAGGTGACAAGAATTTCAACGGATAATTTAATCAGAAGATCCAAACATAAAATCGTGAAATTTTCCAAAGGTATTGCTAGACCTTTTACAGACATTTATTACAAGGCTTATTTAATGTTTATTTATTGTTTATACATGAATCTATAGGTAAACACTGGCCCAGTTTTTAAATGAGTTTATAGGTAAACATTGTTCGAGCTTGTACATGAGTCTATGAGTTTATCGGGTTTATACATGAATCTATAGATAAACATTTGTCAGGCTTATACACGAGTCTATAGGTAAACATTGGTCGAATTTCTGCATGATTCTATAGGTAAATAATGGTCGGGCTTACACATGAGACTATAGGTAACCCTATTCGGGCTCATACGCGAGTTTATTGGTCAACACTGTTCGGGCTTATACACAAGTCTATACGTAAACATTGTTCGGGCTTATACAAGAGTCTGTAGCTAAGCAATATTCAGTCTTATACATGTGTCTATGGATAAACGTTGGTTGGGTTGGATTTCTACATGATTCTATAGGTAATCAATGATCGGGCTTATACATGCCTCTATAAAAAAGATTGGCCGGGCTTATAAATAAGTCTATAGGTGAACACTGGTCGGATTTATACATGGATGTGCAGCTAAATATGGCTTGTCAATTTTAACGTATCCAATAAATACGCCTAGATTCGTAAAGATTAGGCAACAAAGAGGAAAGCTTATCAGAACAATTACCATGAAAGTATTTATGGAAAAGAAACCCAGATGATACGTCACGCCGGGGACTGAAACCAAGATACCAATAATTCTTCTTTGCATTTTATGAAAATTGTCTAAATAGCAGAAAAACCAGACCAGATTTGGCAGCAATATTCAAAGCAAGGGTGAATGGTAGGCTTATAAATTTTCAAGATAGATTCAGGCGAGAAAAATTATCTAGCCCGACACAATGTGCCAAATTTCCAAGCAGCTGACCCTGAATTGATTCAATATAATCTTTCCAATTCATATCAGCGGAAAAAATGTTAGCCCAAGAAGGAGGAAGAAATCACTCTCGTGGAGGTTAGCATCAATCATATTGTTGGAATTTAAATATTAATAAGAGATTTGGTAAGTTGAAACTCCTGACATGAGATTTAATTAGTAAATGCTAATAACAATTTTATTCTCTACTTTTTTTTAACTCGTGGAAATTTCACGGTTTTCCTATTTTAATTTTCTGGTGAATCTTCATTCTCAAGTTAATGATTGAATAAACTCACGGCAAGTTCTAGGACAATAAAATATACGTAGAAATTCCCCTATTGAATTGTTAAATCTTTGAGCTTAAATGCTTTAACAAAATATTGTAATAACAATCATAAAGTATCAATGCTAGTCGTTAATTTAAGAGGCGAATATAAATGAACAACATTTTCCATTTCACTGAAACAGCCGTTAAATACTTCTTTCTTTTTTTTCTTTCTTTCATTAAGTTGTGTCTTTACTCTCTTTCCACGTAATCAAAACGGAATAGTCTATTATTGAAGTATTGGCAAGATACGTTAAATACTTCTAGTTTCTTTATATCTTGATTTCTTTCTTTGTTTCACTGAAACTAAGTAACGTCTCTGATATGATTAGTTTTTCCACATAATCAGAACGGAACTGTGAGGAATCGGAGAGCCGAGTTCGAATTCATTACATTCACTTACGTGCTAATACCCTTGGGAAAGGTATGAATCCTCTTCTTTTCCTCCCAGCTATGGGTAAATAGCAGGACAGATCGGGTTCTGTAGCCTTGGATGGAATCTGGTCTACCGCAGAAAGAAATGGCAACCTACTGCTGGAAAAAAATTTCCTCCTCAGTCATGTATCGAAAGATACAATAACCGCCTAAGCGTGTATCACGAATGGCACATAACTGGCTGACTATTATTTATGAGGTATTCGCAGGATACGTTAAACACTTCTATCGTTCTTTCTTTCTTTTTCTCGCTGAAACCAAGTAGCGTCTCTGTCTTTTGTTTTCTCATGCGGTCAAAATGGAATAATGCATTATTCATGATGTATTGGCAGGGCGCAACGGCCCTGCAACCTAACGAAGTTATTTTGGAATTACTTATATTTTTTTCTTTTGACTGCTGATATTACTTATCTTAGATGGTGCGGATGTGCCTGTTACTTTCAAGACATGGATTGTTACGTGACCAAACAGGTACAAGAAAACTATTCCACGTCGAGAATTCAACACACAGCAGTTCCGCATAAAAGTAATTCAGTAATCAGTTTTTTGGGGGTTGCTACCAAAGTGAGCACCGTAAAATACTCATATAGAAACTTACGTAAATTCCACTAACTCCTCAAAAAATAGTAGCTGTTGAGGTGGTAATGGAATTTAAAATCTTTGTGATTATTTATTTTTTTTTTTAAATAAGATTAGCCCTGCTGATCCCAAACAAATTACACCAGATTATTTATATTATTAACACGCCATCTTTTTTTGTTGCTATCACAACGTTTCATAATGTATTTGTCGATCCGGGTAGCCTATAGGAGATTTGGGGTTGAACGCTTTATTTAATCTACAAGCGTAGATTGTTTACGTTCACTTGCACACATGTAAGGATATTTCATCATGTCCTTTTTTTTTTATATACTGTTTAGTTATTGCTCGAGCCATTTCCACTGAATCCAAGTCCAGAGTGTCCAGCCAAGGATCGAAGTTACAATTATCAAGTCACCAAATTCACAAGTCTAACCTTTAAATTACTTTGGAACAATTATGAGTGAAGAACATGGGGACTTAAACCTAAGCTGGCTTATGATTAGTACTGCTGCGGCTACTTATGCTTGACTGCACGCATTGAGGCTACTCTCTCTACTACAGCTCCGGTTGAAGCTCCGCTGCCTTTTCTCTTTCTTTCCATTATTAACGGCTCCCATACCGTATTTATTTCAATGGTATGCTTACTAGGGAGGCCCTTATAGGCCAGTATATGTGGTGATATGCGGTTGAAACTGCCCAGTTTATGATTCTACGTCTCACATGTAATCATGACGGTTACCGGAATCCCAGGTATTGAAAATCTGATGGTAGATTTGTGGCATAATTTAAGTCTATTATCCGATTTGTCAGTTTAAATGCTATGGTTTCGTTGTGTCTGAAATTCTAGACGATCGCGGATATTCTTGAAATTGTAACAATCGCATGATTGACGCAAAGTTATGGTAGAAAAATGAATATTAACACAAAAAGCATTAGTTTCTTCCACTGTTGCACTTAGTCATGACTAAACAACGTTAGCAAAATATGTGGTGGACACGTTTGTTCCGTAACCCATTAGTCTTGGGCTTACGGTCATATCACGTTAAAACATCGGTTCCCGTACGGTCACCGAAGTTAAGCAATGACGAGCCTGGTCTGTACTTAGAAGGGTGACCATTTGGGAATACCAGGTGCTGTAATATCGGATGTGCAGTTGTTGCTATGGAAAACATAGAGCTGAGTTCCAATTCCATTTGATTCGTTACCAGCAAATATCCTAGGAAAAGGTATGAATCTACCACTTCTCGCCACCAGCTAAGACTTGTATCACAAAATCATTATTACCCCAAAAATCTATCCAGGCATGTCTTTTAGATTTTTTTTTTACATTCTCTGGAATCTAACTGTATAGAAGCTACTATAGACGCAAAGAGAGGAATCATTTTGTATGTTGGTTGTCATATAGAATTGATACCCCACTTTATATCCGCATTATAATTTCTTGTTTGCCAAATTCTGATTAGGTATGAATCTACCTCTTCTCCACCTATGGATTAATTAATAAAAATTTATCACAAAATCATTATTATCTCCAAAAAATTCTTACAATCTAAAAATATTTTCTGGCTTTAAATAGCCTGCAAATTGGTGATAAGCTATAGAAAATTAATCAGTCAATGAAATACTGATTAGCTACACAGGCATGTCTTTTAGATTTATTTACATTATCTGGAATATAAATATATAGAAACTACCGCGGACAGAAACTAAAGGATCAGTTTATATATTGATTTTAATTTAAAATTGATCCCCCATTTTATATCCTTATATTATCCACTTAGTCTCCCACCAGCTATGAGTTAATTAATAAGACTTGTATCACTAAATCATTATTATCGCGAAAAAAAAAATCTTGCAATCTAAAAATATTTTTTGGTTTTAAATAAAAAAAATGGTTGATAGGCCGTAAAACATGAATCAATCAATCAACTATTAGGGTCGCACACGCACCAGATTTATCTTCCTCAAGGTAAGAGAGCCCAGTCTGCCCTGTTATTTTACTCAGAATTGGGAAGATGAACCTATGTCTTTACTAAGAGTATTAGCGTGAATTGAAAGTAAACAAGATCGAACGGGAATCGAAAACGGCACGCCTAATTCATTTTACACTCGACTCTACCATTACTCTATGTCATTTTATACTTTTCTTATTTATTAATCCGTTTCTATTATTGTCATTAATTAAACGAACTGTTCACTCCGACATCCAGTATATATATATATATATATATATATATATATATATATATATATGTGTGTGTGTGTGTGTGTGGTTGTAGACAGCTTGTATGTCTCAGTGATCCCAAGAGAAAGGTGTCAAGCCTTGTAGGACTACCAATGTCGGTAAGGTTGAGAAGGAAGGATCAGACTGAATGCGACCAACCCCAACAGCGGAATAGGCAAAGATCAACACTATATCAACGACCAAACCGGCAGCACCAGTTGGGCTGGTGTAACCAATGCGAACCGAGACAGACCAAACATCCACCAGTCCGATGCAACCAGATTTGCCAGATATCGAGGGAGGCGGTTCTGAGCGCGTGGGCTTCTCTTGTCACGCAGATTTGTCCAGCAAAATCAAATTCACGCAAATCTTTTCGTCAAACTCTCTTTGACTACTTTTCAGGAGTAGGCTAGGCCTTCACAGTCATCTCTGCCACCACTACCGCCACCAGAGGGTGGCGGTGGCAGATACGAGCATCGGGATTGTCATTCTCTTTAATCCTTTATTATGGTTTTAAAAACAGATATTTTAAAAATATATATATATATATAAAAATCCAGAGAAAGAACAGTCAGGTTGTATTACAATTATATACCCATTATTTTATTATATATAATGGTACATATAATATTTATCTAATTCCTTGATTTTTAATTTTAATATTGCCATATCTTATAGCCCATTGAATATAATAAGTATTGCATTTTAGGATCAATTAATATAATATAAATAAAAATGATTTAATCATACTAGAGGCCTATTTAACATAATTCTAAAGTATATACAAACATAATTTTAAAAAATCCTAAAATTAACCTATTGTTATATATATATATATATATATATGTGTGTGTGTCTATATTTCTAAGATGACGTATTATGTACCCTATTTAAGGCAGTGGAAAACTTGAATAGGGGAATTAACTGGAGACAACTGACATCCATGTTTTAACATGGCACGTGGAACTAGAACAGTGAGCGAAATAAAGGGTTCAGTTCGACATTCCAACCACCTGACGCCGAAACGTTGTGATAAATATGGCGACAAAGATGAAGACAATAGTCCGAATAATGTAAATAATATATATATATATATATATATATATATATATATATATATATATATATATATATATATATGATTATTTCATTGTATCTTAAAATTATTTTCTTAACCGGATATATTGGCGACACGTCTAAAAATAACAGTTCTTTTAGACAATTATGAATAAAACGTCCTCTAACCTATATTTTTCACTTTCCTGTTTTAGCTTTGACCTGTCTTTTGATTCGGCAAATTTTGAAATCTTGTTCCCCGCTCCTTCTTAACTTTTCAATAAAATACCGTTCTATTTTCAAAAGTAAATCATTTTCATCGAAAGTTACTTAACATAGCTTGATAATGAAACAAATTCAAAGTTCCGAATCGTATAAATTTCCATGTCGCGATGAAAAATATTTTTTAAATAAAAATATTATTTATTGGAGAGTTTACTAAAGGGAATTAATTGAAAACCGAGGTATCCAGAAAAGGCATGGCATTAGGAACTAGAACAATCTACGTTCTGTGGACTAAATAAAAGGTTCGGTTCGAAATTCCAATGGATATCATCTGAAGAAGGCCGGAGTGGACAAAGGTCCAGATGTCGTGAATATGAGGACAACAGTCCAAACTATGTAAGTAGTATAAATAGTTACAATACCTCATCTCTCTCTCTCTCACACATACACACACACATACATAGTGTCCTAAAAATATACTCAGTGTTACAAACAGAATTAATCTTTAAAACTAAGAATATTAATGTTTATTGATTACAAAGAAGATTAACATTTTAAATTAAATAATAAATGAAATGAAGTGCTTGTATCTGTGAAAAGATTTCCTACAGTAGGCTGCCATTTCTTTCTGCGGTAGAGTCGTTGCCAACGAACACTATAGGACACAGTCAGTCCTGTTCAACCTGTATCTGGGTGGACAAGAGATGGATTCATACCTTTCCCAATGGTATTTGCGCGTAATGTGTCGAAACTGACAGGAATTCGAACTGGGCTTTCTGATTCAGACCTGCTAACACCACGCCAGACATAGTTCAGTTACAATTTCCTTCAATAACATTAGATATTTTTATATAGTCACTGAAGGATTTTAAAATTTTTATTACTTAAAAATAGGGACCACCCCAATAAACGAGGAGAGAGAGAGAGAGAGAGAGAGAGAGAGAGAGAGAGAGAGAGAATAAGAGTAAGCTGATAAGAACAGATACTACACTTTGATCAGAGCCAAAAGGGCAATAAGCGATGGCACACAGTATCGAACGAGTAAGTTAAAAAATCAGTTTACCAGAAATTAAATAAGAATGTCTGCTAAATTATTTTTAAATTTATAAGAAAAACGGGATTTGGCTAGAAAGAAAGAAAGGAAGGAAGATGAACGTGTTTAACGTTTTACCTCATAAATACTAGGCAATTGTGTTTTGATCGCGTGGAAACAGGGGAAAAGACACTACTTCGTTTCAGTGAGAAAATGAAAAAAAAAAAAGAAAGAAAAGAGAAGTTTTTAGCGGCTGTTTCAGTGAAATGGAAAAGTTATCAATTTCAAATCTTTTCATTTGTACCCACTTCTTAAAATAACGACCATCATTCATAATTTAAGATTGCTATTGTAATATTTTGTTGAAGTTGTTAAGCTCAAATATAGGGGATACTTTATTGTCAACTTGCCTTGAGCTTATTCAATCATTAACTGAAGACTTTAATATTCCTCAGAAAATTCACTTAGGGGAATCATGAAATTTTTACGCGTCTTTCTAGTTTTGAGCATTATTACTTGTAGTTGTAGTAGTTATATCTATCTATCTAGCTAGCTAGCTTAGTCTGTTAATATCTTTTTTAATCATTTTACCCCAAGCAAAGCAATAAAGTGATAAAGTGACGAAGTCGCAAGGAGGGTGAGGTTAATGAGTATGAGAGAATATGAGAAAAAACATTATTAAGGGGAGAGGACAATAAAATAACAGGATTAAGAAGACAGAAGATAACAATTGACATTGCATTTTTGAAGATCAAAGTTCATTGAGAATGCCAGAAGCCAGTAGAAACTCATGGGGTTACTGAGTGTGAAAGAATAAGAGAAAATAAAATACTATTAAGGGAGAGAACAAGAAAAGAACAGGAATGAAGAAAACGACTGACATTGCATTTAAATTTTTGAAGATGAAAATTGATTGGAAAGCAAGAAGCCGGGAGAGAGTTAAAAAAAAACAATACAGAAAAAATTGACAATCACCAGACGAAAGGAACATCAAAGTCGCTCCCACATAAAGGAAAAGCCTTTGGTTGGTGTGATTGTTCTATTCTTAGCTGTTGCCACGAACTTTGCTTCGAAAATTGGACCAAATTATTCTTTGAAAACTATTCAGAGAAGAGAATTATAATTTAAATACATGTTATTGGCCATCACTTAGCACGCAAAGCGCTTAATTTGTGTAATTCATTTTTTCGTTATGTTTTTAAAACTCGACTAAAATTCCTCTAACTTTGTGTTTCCATATTATTAAATTATTTGTACCTCGAGCATTTGTTGGAACTTTTTTCGTAGGGTGTTTTTAAAATCCTATACACACACACAAACACACACACACACACACACACACACACACACACACACACACATATATATATATATATATATAGTTTTGTGTATATCTTAGTATTATAAATGTCTCTCTGAGAACAAACCATGTTTGTCATTCTTTTTTCTTTCAGCCATTCCGTTCCACCCGTGAAATTAGATATTTTTATATAGTCACTGGTGTTGTTATATCATGAATATAATACTGCCCATAATGGTGGAATCATAAATGGGAGAATAAATCTTTCTTCGTTACTAGTTTAATCTGTAGGGGAATTATA